CTGCTCGTGCCCCGAGGCGGAGTTCGCAAACCGAGGTAAATTTTTGCGGCCAGAGCTGGTCATAACCTGAAAAGTTAGTTAACAGAGGAGTTCGTAACCCAAGGTACCACTGTATTTTAAATATTTATATTTGACTATTTAATTTGAATGGATGTTATTTAAATAGTATTTGAATGGATGTTATTTGCTTTTATAGCTGCCATATAAATGTAAATAACAAATAATGGCCATTCAAATGCAAAATCAGGAAAATAGTACTATGCTTGAACTTTGATAAACAGCAGGATCATAGCAGGAACATAATTACAGAGCAAGCTTTCAAACTCAGGTTCTCATCCCTTCATCACATATTTTTTATTTTATATAAACTGTTTTATGTTTATGTCACATATACAAATATGGAATCTCATTGAACTTTGTTTTTTATGTATAATTACAGATGTGATTTGTAGAAGTCTTTATTATTCTTATCTTAAATTTGTAGAATAACATTACTTGTAGTTGCATAAAACTCTATGCAACGTTATTTTTTATATAATAGTAAGCCTTTCTGAGTTCAATGGGATGCACACTCAGGTTAGAGTTGCGTGCAGGATTGCAGTTTCTTTCAACCATAGTATTGAAGGGGGCCTTTAGACTCCTTAATCTAAATTAAAGCATTCCAGATTGATGCTGCATAGCTTCTAGTTGAACAAATCCAATAAAGAGGAGCCCATCACCACTCTAGGTCACTGTCAAACTGTTTTTACTGATAGGAAGTTTTTTCTAATATTCAACTGGAAAATGCTTCCCTGAAACTTAAATCCATTCATTTGTGTTATGGACTCTGGAATGAAAGAGCAGGGATGTTAGTTTTCTTCGATGTCATGTTATTTCAGTGTGTGAAGAATACTATTACACATTCCTCAGTCAGCTTTTCCCTCTTCAGAACATATCCAATTTACTGAAAAATATCAGGATAAATTGGTAGAAAGCAGCATCCTGAGAAGTTAGAGGAAACGGCAGGCAATAACTTCATCAGTTTGTATTCTGGTAGATAGATGAATGGGTCATAGGCACCAAAAGACATTTTGTGAATGGGCAAGGTCCCTCCATGGCCACCATTTCTCAGAGTCATATAAGATCTCCCACAATTTTAAACATGCCTACCAGTTCAAAAAGATTGAGGACCTCTCATGCAGTACATCTATGAAAATACTTTCCATAGCTCCTAGTAACTGTTTAATATTTCTGTTATTCCTTCAGATTCTTCACAATCTAGGAAAAAGTCAAAAACAACTTGTAGTCAGCTGCAAAGAACTACAGCACCTAGAACAAACAAGAGAAATGCTAAAGGAGAAACTCATTTGCATTTAGCTTGTAAAAAAGGAAAATTATCTTTAGTGAAATCTTTGATAGCATCTGGGGCATGTGTAAATCAAAAAGATAATGCAGGTCTGGCATTTTAACTCACAGTTTGAACTTTTTCTATTGTATTGTACCCCATAAATGATTTAACTTATTTCTAACTGCAGCTGCTTTTCCTTGCTGCTATCTACTTAATTTAACAATGTCTAACAAAAGGATTAGTTAATTTGGGGCTCTGTTGTTATACTTATTTGATCAATATATTTGGATGTACAGGTAGTCCTCATTTAACTACTGCCCTGTTTAGTGACCATTCGAAGTTATAACAGCACTGAAAAAGTGACTTTTTTTTGGTATATAATTTTTATTCAGCCTTTTGATTACAATAGTAAAAACTAATGCAAACTAAACTTAAAGAAAAAAAGAATGGTAAAAAATAAAAAGTGCAAAAAAAAAAGAGAAAGAGAAAAGAGAAAAGAATATGATAAAGAAATATATGAAGAAGTGACTTACAACCTTCATTACAACAAGTATAGACAAATTTAGTAACTCTTTATCCCCTATAAGATTAGAAACAGATATCTTTTCATCCCACATCCCATCCCTTATCTATAAGCAAATCCACAGAACATCAACTTTTCAATCCCGGTGTCAGCAAAAAGTTCATAAAGGGTTGCCAGAACTTTACAAATAAATGTCTTATTTTAACCTTGATCAAATATTAACCTTG